ACTCCAGACACAACCATTCCCAGCTCACAGAACAGGTAAACACTCCAAACACAACCATTTTTAGCTCACAAAACAGGTTAACACCCCAAACACAACCATTCCCAGCTCAAAAAACAGGCGAACACTCCAAACACAACCATTCCCTGCTCAAAGAACAGGTAAGCACTCCAAACACAACCATTCCCAGCTTACAGAATGGGAAAACACTAAACACAACCACCCAGCTCACAGAACGGGTAAACACTCCATTCATAACCTTTTCCCTTTCCCCACAGAACGGTAAACACTCCAAACACAACCATTCCCAGCTCACAGAACAGGTAAACACTCCAAACACAACCTTTCCCCCACTAAACAACAAATAAACACGGGTAAACACCCCAAACACAACCATTCTAGCTCACAAAACGGGTAAACATCCAAACATAACAATTTCTAGCTCAGAGAACAGGTAAACACTCCATACACAACCATTCCCACCCAAACAGGTATACACTCCAAACACAACCATTCCCTGATCACAGAACAGGTAAACACTCCAAACACAACCATTCCCAGCTCACAAAACAGGTAAACACTCCAAACACAACCATTTCTAGCTCACAGAACAGGTAAACACTCCAAACATAACAATTTCTAGCTCAGAGAACAGGTAAACACTCCATACACAACCATTCCCAGCTCACAGAACAGGTATACACTCCAAACACAACCATTCCCAGCTCACAGAACAGGTAAACACTCCAAACACAACCATTCCCAGCTCAAAGAACAAATAAACACAAGTAAACACTCCTAACACAACCATTCTCAGCTCACAGAACAGGTAAACACTCCAAACATAACCATTTCTAGCTCACAGAACAGGTAAACACTTCCAAACACAACCATTCCCAGCTCACAGAACAGGTAAACACTCCAAACACAACCATTCTACTAAGCAATTCTTCATCAAATCAAATCCCTATGAGCCCATAGTTTTTCTTCAAACCACACACATTTTGACCCTATGAAAATATGTGATTTTTATACGCCCGTCTTAAGACGGGACGTATTATGTTATAGGCTTCGTGTCCGTCCGTCTGTCCGTCTGTCTGTTAGCTTTTTCGTTTCCGGCTCATAACTTTAATACTATTAGTCCTATGATTATTAAACTTTGTCATCTGATGCATCTTGGGTAGAAGGTGTGTTGTGCACAAAAAGTAGGTCGCTCTTACCTTTTATTAAGAAGTTATAGCCAAATATGGAAAAATCCTTTCCGGCCCATAACTAGAAAACTATAAGACTTACAATCATCAAACTTGACCAGTTTATGCATCTTTGGTAGAAGGTGTGTCGCGACCTTTTTCAAGGTCACTGTGACCTTTAATTTAAGTGAAATTTAAAAAAAAATGTGTCTTATTACTATTCATTTTCACATCCCAAATTATGTAAGAGTATTGCACTGTCCTTATTAAAAAAGTGTTAAATCAAGAAGATACAGTGGACCTTCAGATATCCGGACGCCAGATATCCGGATGCTTCAGTATCCGGACGATTTTTCATCGGAACGAAATTTTAAAATGTTATTCTGTCTTGTTTAACTGGTGATTCAGATATCCGGATGCTTCACATATCCGGACAAATTGACTGGGAACCAAAGCGTCCGGATAAATGAGGGTCCACTGTACATGTACTTATTTTTTTAAGCATATACTTGACAGCAATCTATAACAAATATAATGTATGTTAGAGAAATCCTACCTCTCCCTTGAGTGTAATTATCAAGCACTGGTCAAAAAGAATTTTGATAACAGAAAATTGCATGTCAAATTAGAGAGAAATTAATGAGTTTTGAGTGTGAGGATCTAACTGATAGAACATTGGTGTTATCTATATCCCTTGGGTATTGGGCAGATGGGTAAGCCTGTTGGATTAAAAATAGCTCTTGTTGGCTAGCCTAAGTTTTAAAATTTGATGAAAAGTAATTAAAACTAATTTGATATTGCATAATAGACTAATCTGATTTTATATAATATTTTTAATTTAAAAACTAATTTTTTGGGGGTGGGGGTGGAATCAGCATGTCCATATGAATTACATATTAAAACCTGTCGGACAAAAAATTTTTGTGTATTTTATATGTTTAAAAAAAAAATTATGGTAGATAGTGCAGACCCATTCATCTCTTGGTAGTAATGAGTAGACAAGCATCCAGTTAAAGATTAATTAATGAGTTCAATGTAGGAAGGCCAGCTGTCTCAATCACTCGGATCAAGCAGTCTTATCTGTATCCTTTGGGGGTTAGACAGAAGAAGTGCTGGTCAGTTTATAGTAGGGATGTCAAAATTGTCAATAATTGATATTCGAATATTCGATAGGAGTATTCGAATATATTCGAATATTCGATAAAATAAATACATCTTGCATTATTAAATATATATCTTCACTCTCCTGTCAAACAGTATAGGTTTTTGCCATTATTTTGGAATAAAAACTCATGTAGAGTTCAAAATATGCACTACAATTATGTATTTTTTTAAAATCATTGAATAGTATACATCCAAAATGTAATGATTGTTTTTTTGAAAATTCAAAAGATTCTTTAGTATGTTCCAGATTAATTGATCGTCTTACTAAAGTCTACACTGATAACTCCTACAAATTTATACCAAGCAGAACAATTATCTAACGGTGAAATATTAAAAGCAATTACTTTTTGCAAATTATAATTTCCTGATAATGATTTTTAATGATATTTAGATAAATAAGAAGTCTGTGTGTTTACTGTAAAACTGGGTCCTTACAATAATAAAAGCTGATTGTTAGTACTGGACACTATTATACCACTAATTAAGTAAACAAATAAATAAATTACTCTTAGATACACACTTCACACCTTTAAGGTAATCCAAAAGGAGTGTTTTTTTTCTTTCTACAAACTTGATTCAATTTCTAATAAAACTTTCCAGTTTTTTCTCTCTTTAATGCTTGTATACTTAAAAACGAATATTCGAATTATAAATTTATATTCGAATATCAACTCATCGAATGAATATTCGAATATTCGAATATTCGTTGACATCCCTAGTTTATAGCATATGTCATTTGATGGCCAGCCTTTTCTTTTCAAAATTAATTTGGTATAGATTAAGGTGTTAAGACTAATTTGATATTGTTTAGTATGATGGGCATTAGACAAGGTCTAACACAACCAGCATAGAAATTTATTAATGATGTAATATTTATTATAATTAATGCCTTCATCACAGGGAATGGATAAATATTTGAAGGAATGGAAAAATCTTGGAAATCTTAGAATCAAGGTTGATGTGATTTTCTTGCATGGCTAAACTGTTCAAGAAAATTGTATTTTTTTGATGGGCGTATCATGCTGTGGTGCGGCATTTTATTCAGTATAAAGAAATCATTTTTTTGTCCATGCAATCTTGTCTGCGCTCTAACTTTGTAATGCAGTATTATTGGAAGCTCATACTTGGTATGTTTATGGATATCCAATAACCCAGGGGAGTGAAATGAACTTGACCCAAAATCATTCCAGCAAGTTTAAGTCACTGTCAGAAAAAAATTTTCCAAAATTCTGGGCCGTCTCTAATAGAAAACCTTTGGAATCTCACACTATGTACAGAGATTGAAAAAGCCAAAACAGCGGAATTATATCTCTTTAATTAATACAGAAAACTGAATCATTGGAAGCTCTTACTTAGCACAGAGTGTGTCTTGTTCTTGATTGAATGTCATTCCAACAAGTTCAAGGACAAGATTATGGAATTCTTGTCCAGGCTATAACTTTGTAATGGAAAATCTTCAGAAGCACATTCTTAGTATGAAAATTGTTATGACCTGAAAGTTTTTCATGATTTTTACCAAAGGTCATTCTGACAAATTGAAGGTATAAAATGTGTAAAGTTCATGGCAGGTCTAGATTTTTTATGGAGAAACATTTGATGTCCACATTTAACTTAAAGATAACTTATAACCAGAAGAGGTGTCATTTTTGTTCTAACAAAGGTATTTTAGGCAAGGTTCAAAGTCGCATTTAAAATTGAACTGACAATTATTTTTTTTTTTTTTAATGTGATTGGGATATCATTTTGTGACTTTGTTCACAGTACATCTTAGATTATTTTAGGGTGTGACTTTGTTGTTGCAATTAAAAATGATAAATGATGTAAATGATTTTTGTATTTATTTCAGAGTTCAAGAAAGTGATGAAGTGGACGATGATAAACAGGGATCCAGAGGTAGGACTTTATTGACTCCCGGACTAAGTACAGTGATCTAGAGGTAGGGCTTTATTGACTCCCAGACTAAGTACAGGGATCTAGAGGTAGGGCTTTATTGACTCCCAGACTAAGTACAGGGATCTAGAGGTAGGGCTTTATTGACTCCCAGACTAAGTACAGTGATCTAGAGGTAGGGCTTTATAAATTCCCAGACTAAGTACAGTGATCTAGAGGTAGGGCTTTATTGACTCCCAGACTAAGTACAGGGATCTAGAGGTAGGGCTTTATTGACTCCCAGACTAAGTACAGGGATCTAGAGGTAGGGCTTTATTGACTCCCAGACTAAGTACAGTGATCTAGAGGTAGGGCTTTATTGACTCCCAGAATAAGTACAGGGATCTAGAGGTAGGGCTTTATTGACTCCCAGACTAAGTACAGTGATCTAGAGGTAGGGCTTTATGACTCCCAGACTAAGTACAGTGATCTAGAGGTAGGGCTTTATTGACTCCCAGACTAAGTACAGTGATCTAGAGGTAGGGCTTTATTGACTCCCAGACTAAGTACAGTGATCTAGAGGTAGGGCTTTATGACTCCCAGACTAAGTACAGTGATCTAGAGGTAGGGCTTTATAAATTCCCAGACTAAGTACAGGGATCTAGAGGTAGGGCTTTATTGACTCCCAGACTAAGTACAGTGATCTAGAGGTAGGGCTTTATTGACTCCCAGGCTAAGTACAGTGATCTAGAGATAGGGCTTTATTGACTCTCAGACTAAGTACAGGGATCTAGAGGTAGGGCTTTATTGACTCCCAGACTAAGTACAGGGATCTAGAGGTAGGGCTTTATTGACTCCAGGACTATGCACAAGTCTTTTCTAGACTAGGGCTTTATTGACTCAAAAGCATTTTTAAGTACATTGATCAGAGGTAGGGCTTTATATTTTCCCAGACTAAAAACAGTGATCTAGAGGTAGGGCTTTTTTGACTCCCAGACTAAGTACAGTGATCAAGAGGTAGGGCTTATAATTTCTAAACAGAACTAAGTATTGGGGATTTAGAGGTAGGGCTTTACAAGTGTGAAAACTAAAACAGACTAAGTACAGTGATCTAGAAGTAGGGCTTTATATAGACTCCCATGTTTTACTATGTACAGAAATCCAAATTTAGGGCTTTATTTCCCAGATATTACAGGGATCTAGAGGTAGGGCTTTATGACTCCCAGACTATGTACAGGGATATAGAGGTAGGGAAATTTTTAAAGAAAAAATCTTTTAAGAAAAGTACAGTGATCTAGCAAAGGCTTTAATGACTCCCAGACAAAACTACAGTGATTTTTGGATTATAGGGCTTTATAAATCATACCACATAAGTACAGTGATGCAAGAGGTAGGGCTTTATTGTTAACTCCCAGAATTACAATTTGCGAAGTTTATGCATGTTTACATGAATGCTTTATATGCATTTCATATTAAATCTAATAAGTGATCTAGAGGCAAAAGGCTTTATTGACTCCCAGACCTCTAGCATACAGTGGTATCTAGAGGTAAAAATAGAGAGAATTGGACTAAAAGATGCCACTCAGTACATAGAACCTTATATAACTGTGTCAGTGAGAGGTAGGGCTTTATTGACTCAAAGCACTGGATTAAAGTCTTTAAATCCATAGTATCTATAAACAGCAAGCGATATAACACAAAATAAGCATTTTTAATTTTATTGAAATGTGAATATGATTCTATGAATTGTTCAAGAAAAAGTTTTCCTTTGAATTTTAAAAACTTCATGTATAAAAAAATAAAAACAGATACTTCTACTCCGTTTTAGCTAAATTATGATTACAAGAAACTTTCAATAAAAATGATCGAATGAATTAATGAAGAATAGGAGTAAAATTTCTGACAGACGGGAATATTATGTTTATGTCAAATTTAAGATGGTGCATTTTTGAAATCGTTGACAAGTGTGAAAGGGCGAAAATAAAGCATGGCGAATAATAACCCTGTATACAGTAAAAAAAGTTAACTTATATATAGATTTTAAAAGAAATGAAGAAATCACAATTTTGGGTTATTTCATATTGTTCAACTGGTATAAATCAGAGTTTTTATAAAATCTTTTTTTACATATCAATAAGGGAAATTTTATAAACCACGAAAAAGTCTTTAAACGTTCCATATCAGCTCAGTTGGTTTCGTTGTGAAGGGAAAAGAAACATAAGGATACAGAATATTAGCTTTAGATCAAAACTCTTAATTTTTGGATTACCGGTATATCTGTTGAAATCATACCACATAAATCGTGTGCCATAGAGATCCTTGTACATGTTAAGAACAAACGCATGTTTACATGAATGCTTCTATATATACATTTACATATTAAATCTAATAAGAATTCGATTGGTTTGTTTATCTTAGCAAAAGGAAGCTTGCTGCCCAGACCTCTAGCATACAGTGGTATGAGAGTACTGACGGTAAAAATAGAAATAATTGGATTTAAAAAAGATGCCACTCAGTACATAGAACCTTATATAACTGTGTCAGTGAGAGGTCTGCTACATACACAAAGCACTAGATATAAAGCACATGTTAATCCATAGTATCTATATACAGCAAGTGATATGACACAAATTAAATATGTGTCATTTCTACGTGATGAAAGATTATCCTTGTAGAGCCATTTGGATTTGAGTTTGGTCAAGTTTTGTGTATGTTTTTTAAAATATACATGTATATACACTTAGAGCACTGTTTATATGCACATGTTTATGATGATGATTTGCAGATGCAACAGGGACAGAGCTTACAGCTGCCCAGGATACACCAGTAGCCACCAAGAAAGAGAGCAAGTGTATTGTGTTTAATGAAGAGGTGCACATTCAGAAGTCTATAGAGAGTCTCCCCAATGGTAAGTGTAGAGATAGACATTCTAAATTTAAAAATCAGCAGCCCCAGACCTCAAGAGGATCCACAGTGCAGGGCAATTGTTCATGTTCATTGTTTTTTAACAGTCTGTTCCAAAAAATACCTGCCTCAGTTGTTTCTGCAATTTTTGGCACAAATGTTGCCATTAACATTTTCATGAGTAAATTTTCCTATTAAACTGAAAATGCTTTTGATAAAATGTAGTTTATCTATATTAGAAATGTGAAATTTTAGAAATCCTTGTTTTCCTATTTTCAAAATCTAAATCATAGATTTTCCAAGTCATTTCAACTAGCTCCTGTAAGACTGTGCCAGGGGGCTGCTTATCTTCCAGATTCATCCTGGTTAAAACCCAAATTTATACAAAAATAAGAATGACCATTTCCCCATATTTATTTTGAAAATCTAGCTTTCAGATTTAGGCATCTCAAATATCATATTGATACAAGTCATTTGCCTTGTTATAGGTAACATTCATTGAGGTGAGGAGTTACTAGTATCTTATTTTTATAATTTCATCATGTTCATGGTACATGTATATTAGTACAGGTATTTAAAAATGTTTTCAACACACAATGCTTAGGTGTAATTTTAAGTACCAGGGTATGGATGAATTTTGAAAAGTTTAGCTCCATTCTTAGAGGTTGAGGTTTTTATTTATGATATTTTGGGTATCATTTTCTTTTTCCTTATTTCTTTATATTCTCTTTTAATGCAAAAATTGGTACCAAAATTCAAAAGAAACTTTTTAATGAGTTTTCTCATTTTAGTGAGATTCAAAGTTTTTGAACATTAAAGTGTACTTATTTCTTAGTGAGTCCTAATTTAGTGAATTGTCCAGAAAAATCCATATATAATTTTAACAAGGGTTTAAATTTAACTATATAAGGATACATGTACAGTACCTAGAAATTTAATGCTTACAGGAATTGTTAGGGATATTCAATTTTAGCAACCTCTACTTTCTCACGAGTTGAACTTGAATTGAGTCAGCAGTATTACCCGGTACATGTAATTTTTTTAAACAAAAAGTTTTTTTTATTGATTATGTTGATACTTATATAATCAAATTTGTCTTGTTCCTTTTTTATAGGGTTTTCAATATTTTTTGAGTTCAAGCATTTTAAACCAAAGAAAAACATGATCAGCACAAAGTGTTGGGCCTTCATGGAGAGGGATGAAGTCAAAGAGGGACCAGTAGCATTAGAACTGTAAGTAATTAATGTACAACACTCAAAAAAGTATTGTGTTAGCTTTATAATACCATGTCTTTTTTATATATCTTTTTTGTTAAAAGCATTACAGTTTGATATGTTGAAATTCAGTCATTTTGCATGTAATAAGTAGCTTTTCATGTTTATAATGTCCCCCTTGGAAGAAGGGAAAGCATGTTGCATTGCTTTTGTCTGTCTGTCTGTCCCGCAACAGTTTCCATTCATTTTCTTTGCAAAGGTTGCACACATAAAAATGAAATTTAGCATGCAGATTAAAGTATGATCAAATAATGTTTGACAGAGTGATGCCCCTTTGACTTAGAAAAATTCCAATGATATACAGCTTTATCATAAGAATATCAGGTATATTTTATTTTGGGTACAATCGAGCATTTTTGACAGAGTTATGTCCCTTGGGCTTAGGAAAACTTTCATTTATTTGCAGTTTCCATTCATTTTCTTTGCATGTACCATATCTGTTTTTTTTCGCGGTGATCTGTTTTTTGCATTTTTTGTGACCATTTTTAAGTCACAAAATATAAAACACACAGAAATAATGTCAGCTATAATGTGACAATACCATTTTAAGCAAAAAAATCTTCAATCATAAAAATAACTTGCGCAAAATAAAAACTGTACTATTAATCTACCCCATATTCACAAAATTTCTAACACGGGAAAAAAAACAGATATACGATATGTCCAAGGGACTGGGGGTGGAGGCATAAGTGTTTCACAAACATCTTTTGTTTGAAATGCCTGATATCACTTTTGGGATTTCCTTTCTAACAGATACCAGAAACCAGCAGATTACAAAAGGAAAAACATCAAGCTGTTAACAGTGAAACCATTGTATCTCCATTTGAAAATTATTTTTAACACATAATGGACAGAAGTCATATACTGGAAGTATCTTGACTTTTAAAAAGGAACATTAAAATTGTGAACTGAAGTTAGACATTATGAATAGTGTTTTAGTAAACACAGGAAGTTATGCTTTAATATGTAAATAATTTTGTTATGAATCAGTACATATGAGGCTTGTAGACACCATGCAGATTGATTATAGGCCTCCTAATCAGTGTCTTGTCTTATATAACTTGCCTCCTGTATTGACCTGTGCTAATGTTTGAATAGAGCTTAAGGAAATCAATAACATGTAATAAAATACTCTTGACTTAATTTTCGAGAGAAAAAAAATCAATCTAAATTATTAAAAACTTACCAACAATATTTCCTATATATCAGTTTCCTGGAGGTAGTAAAAAAGGACTATGTCAGCAAAAATGACTTTTTTTTTTTATAAGTGTGCCTTAATCATTAACAAGAAGTTTTCTGAAATAATTACTATTAATTATTTTCATCCTGTATTTTACAAATACATGTATTTATTGAAACTTTCTGTATTTTAATAGTTTTATTTATCATTTTAAAAAATATACACTATGTCTATTAACATTCCATATACATGTATGTCAGCCAAATCCGAAATATAATCCTCACACTAACATTTCTGTTTTGTTAGTCCCTTGACCACTCTAAATGATAAACTAGTGGTTATACAGGCTTTGTCTTCACTTTGTTTGTCTGTGATTATTCCAGTTTTATAAACTTCCAAACAGGATTCTTTGAGGATGAACATAAATTGTTACATGTACCATGCATAATGCCGAGTCTCATGTTATAATGCAAGCATGCTTTATTGCAAAGTTCCAATTCTAAAATACAAGTCAAGTACTGTATTGGTTGTGAGAAATTATTACAGATCTGTATACAGTAGTGAAATATTTTACTACTGAATGTTTTATATATGCTGCATATCTCAAATATTCTGGTTATCCAATAGCAGCTGTTGTTAACTGATATCCGTCCAATGTGTTCAGTTCGTCAGTATGAAATGTCTTAATATTGTTTAGTTTTGAGGTGCTTTTTTGACCAAATGAATTGTTTGAGATGGAAGGAATATAGCTTTTATTTTATTTTTGTTATGAGCGTTCCAATGCACTTTGTTATTGCACAGAACATTGATCATTGTTTTAATAATCTTGGATTAGGTGAGCTGGAAGATGATTTTAAATAAACACTTATTTTGTTTTGTTTTAAAGCATATTTATTAATAAGTAAATGTTTGTATTTATCTCCTAAAGAACACCCTTAAAATCGGATGTCAATTTTCTTTCTGAGTGAGTCGTAAACTTTTGAACATTTTGAATTTCACAAAAAGATTGTGAATTATTAAGTATATGGTCCTCATTCCCAAAGCCCGAATCATTTGTCCATATCCTCCAAAATTGTTACATTCTTTAATTTATGTTCTCATGATTTCATTGGGAAGTGAGCCTTACTATTGTTGGGAAAGAAATATGTTCACAAGTCCAAAATTTAATTTCTAGGATTCAGATGTTAAAAATGTATAACATCTCATACATTTACTGCTTAATGTGAAATGTTGTGGAAAATCAGTGGAAAGACAGTAAAAATGTATCTGTTTGATTCTGAAATTATGTCTTTAATTTAATTCAAGATACTAGACAAATATGTGGTTTTGCATAATATGAAATGAATACATGCATTTTCATATACATGTTCAAGTAAACCATTTACATGTTGTGTACTGTGAAATATGTGATTTACAGTACTGGTATGTATTTTTCTTGATTTGTGATCAAGCAGCTTACCTGTTTTGAAAAAATTGCAAAAATTGAATTTGCAAAAACATGAATGCCACTTTTCATTTATTGAGGAAAACAAGTCATTGAAATTCAAATAATGCTGTAAAGCAACTAATTACCATATGTTGAAAAATTCAGATTGAAATAAAAGTATCAATAGTATTGATTTATGTTGAAGTCATAAAGAGTATTTTAGATAATTTCAAGAAAGCTAACCAAGAAATTTCAAAAGATTTTGAATTATGGAAATATGTTGTCAAGAATATATGTTTGTGTATTTTTTTCTTTTCTGTCAGTGTATCTTTAGTGATTAAAACATGTTATTTTACATATATTGTCTTGATATAATATTTGATACATGTATATAATATTTGATATATTATATTTTCTTAAATCTTAACAGTAACTCCCTTTTTTACCATGTATTTTATTAAAGAGGATATAAAAACTGTTCAGGATTTGTTATGGTCACTCCATACATGTATTTCTGAGATATATGCATTTCAAATATTTTTATCTATAATAAGGTAACATACATGTAGATGATCTGTGCTAGCTGCAGATCTGTAGCTCTCCTAAAAAATATATTGATAGACCGGAGAGCTACAGTGCCACCCATTGAAAAAACTGTATATTTATTGCGCACAAAAAAGTGCGCTCGGTTCTTGATTAATTCTTCCAAATTCTTACCTCAATTGCAAAAAATGAAAGATTTCAAAAAATTCCTTTATCCTCAATACTGTACACTCATAGTTGACATCTGAACAAAGCATATTGGACCAAATTATCTTTGAAACCAAAGTGGCAGTATAAATAAGCAAAATGTTCGATGATTATAATATCAGGGTCATGAGGACTACCGGTATTAACAACAATTATGAGGAATGTTTGGTTGTGGAAACAGTGAAAGATATGTTAGGAACACATGGTTAGTATTATTTTGAGATTACAGTTTTAAAAACATGGAGAAATAAATCGAGAACGGAGCACACATTTTTGTGTGCAATAAATATAGTTTTTTCAATGGGTGGCACTGTAGCTCTCCAGTCTACATGTATCTATATATTTTTTTTTTTCAGAGAGCTACTGTAACAGATCTGCAGCTAAATTTGTGCTAGAATTCTTTAATTTAAAGCATTTTGTATGGTTAATAGAAACAAGAGTCTCAGAGGCCTTGAATCATTCTTCATATAATTACTAGTATACAATTTATCAATTCTAACTGAAGCCTCTAAATATCCTTCATATTAAGAAAGTGTTGCCTGTGTGGCGCCATGGTAAGAGTGTCTACTTCTACATGTAGGTAAGGAGTTGATCCGATCCTTACAACGCAGGTTTGAATCCTACTGTGGGACGTGGAAAAAGGTCCCTTGGATAAGACTGTATAAACCGAGGTCCCTTGTCGCAGTAGGTACTGGCATGAAAATTTAGATCCCTCACTGCTGAATGGGCCGCATGCCAAGCATAGGTCAAAATTTGCAGCTCTCCACCAGCAAGTGATGATGTCTCCATATGAGTGAATATTCTTGACAGGGACATTAAACAAAACAAGTAAGAGGCCCAGGGGCCACATCGCTCACCTGAGAAACTGGCTATTAAAGTAAAAGCAAATATCAGTTCAGTATTGAAAAGTTCAAATATAAAAGTGGAAGGGGGGTGGTATTTGAACAAACTTAAATCTACACTTCCTTTGGATGCCTTTGATTGAATAAGACACGTAATGGCTTTGCTGTTTATCAGATGAAAATATTTATTGATATAGCCTTTATTTTCCTTTGTAATGATCCACTTTAATGGCTCCTCTATTCTTCTGATTGGTCATGATTTGAACAAATTTAAATGTTCATTACCTTTTTTGATGCTTTTATATTCATTATCAATCACAGCTTTGTTGTTCTTGTGGAAAATTTAAACAATTGTTCTTGTGGTAAATTTAAACAATTTTTCCTAAATGAAACCTTGAGTACCCATTGTGGCCCACCTCTACCCCTAGTTCATGATTTGAACAAACTTGAATCTACACTACACAAGGATGCTTCCATATATCTATGACGGTCTAAAGTTTGCTGTTATTGAGAAAAAGATTCTTAGAGATTTTTCCTATGTATTCCTACTTAATCACCCATAATAGCCCCACCCTTGCTATGTTAAACTTTGATACCCTATTGTGGCCCCACCCTTCCCCCATGCTTCTTCATGAGTTTCATCTTTTCTAGCCCAGTGGTTCATAGGGATTTTTTTTTTAATTTCCTATGTATTATTCTTATGTTAATCTTTGATACCCCATTGTGGCCCCTCCCTACCCCCAGGGGTCATGATTTGAACAAACTTGAACTACACTACATGAGGTTACTTCCATATGAGTTTCATCTTTCCTGGCCCCGTGGTTCTTGAGAAGAATTTTTTTTTTAATTTGTATGTATTCCTACATTAAACTTTGATACCCTACTGTGGCCCCACCCTACCCCCGGGATCATGATTTGAACAAACTTGAATCTAGTCACTACATGAGGATCCTTCAACATGAGTTTCATCTTTCCTGGCCCATTGGTTCTCCAGAAGATTTTTAAAATTTTCACCAACTCATAGTTATCTCCCCTTTGAAAAAGATGTGGCCCTTAATTTGAATAAACTTGAATCCCCTTAACCCAAGTATACTTTGTGGCAAGTTTGGTTGAAAATGGCCCAGTGGTTCTTGAGAAGAAGATAAAAATGCAAAAAGTTTACAACAACGATGGCAAATTTCGATGGAGCCAAATTTGGCTCAGGTGAGCTAAAAAGAGGTCATGGTGACATTTTCAGTTGACACATCATGAGGACCCAAGATGCATCCTGTAAGCTAATTAGTATAATCATCATAGCATTCAAAATATACATGAATCCCATGGTGATCTACTTTTCAGTTGATGCACTATTCAAATATAGCCATATTTACTAACTGAAAACATTTTAATTGACTTTCAAATATAGCTATATTTACTATTTAAATAAAGCCACATTTAAACATATCATAAATGTTTAAAAATAAGGTCATGGTGATCTACTTTGCAGTCTACATGCTCTGAGGACCCAAGACACATCAATGGACTAAGTTTGCTGATTCTATAAGGCAATTAGTATCCAAAATACTTAAAGTATGCCTGCTTTACCGTATATATAAAAGTTAACACCATTCAAAGGCTCTTGCTCAGTGTAGTCAGACATTTCCCTACCACACTGCCCCACAAATATCACAAAGACATTGGAAATGTAAATAGTAAGTTAAATGTAAGCCTAAAAACAACTTATATGTCAACCACATAGGGTTTCCTCCCCTAATGACATTATAGTCATAACAGA